AATTACCACAAGAAGAAACCAAAGGAGCTTATTCATATAAAACATCTCTGCGATGTTTACACGTTTCAAGCCCTATAGTGAGTGGCACGAGCAAAGTTCGTCTTGAATTTAAGAGCAGTTATTTGTCAAGTGCACAGACAAGCCTTGTGTACAATAGTAGTTATGCATGCAAAACTCTGCATCGGGTACAGATTGGAATGTCGACTTTAAATACCTTAAACAGATTTTCGAGGAGATTGAGATATGGTGGAAGTTGACCTGTCAGAGGCACGTGTAGAAGAATTCAGGTTCTACAAGTTGACAAAATTTTTCAATCATGTTATTACCACCTTTAGCGAACTCTGAAATTAGGAGTGGAGATTATTTAATGCAATATTAGTGTATCCTTAGTTTAATTTGGTATTAACCATCCTAACAATGTAGTTTTGTTCCTGAAAAACCAATCATTCCCTTTGCAGACCTATTGCAGAACCAAAATGTAGATGCTGTAATGCTTTGTTTATGTGACTACCTGACGTTTGACGGTCCTTTAGGATTTGTCTGGCCCTTGTGTTCGTGAGCTGACCTTCGGTCCATGCCCAGGCACATTTGCTCTGTTCTCTTCGGACTAAATGTGCCCAACTTCACTTACTGCCTTCCTCCACCCTATAGGAAGTCTTGAGACGCTACAATGGTGGCAGTGGAAAGTGAATTCAACACCTTTTAACGACTTCTATCCGAGCAGTACCATTTGTTGCATGTACCTACGGTGTAAAAGAGACGCATTTGCATCGGTGACGAGAAAATCCCTTAATCCTTCACAACGAAAGGATTTAGACTGACGTCTGCATTTGCTTTCCCCTTATTTCCGTGTTCCACAGACAAGCTGTTAACATCTGAAGCGACACCGTCGTAAACCATCTAGGAAAGATTCGTGTCGAAACTTCCATACAAAATCCGTGTTTAGGTGTCGGAAATGACACTACAGTTCTCCTTATATGGGGGACAGTGCCTCATCCCGTTTCCCCTGTAACATACATGTTTTAGACCAGAGTTACACCGTCTAGTCCTGGAGGCAATTGATGGCCAACAGATGTGTGCGGCTCCGAATCTTGTTGTGAAATCGAACGTAACTCCAGATCACGTTGAAGCTGTCAAGGAGACCAGATACGGTTCCTCAGTCTCATGCTATTTAACGACTGGTCCGTTGGTTCGTGGGTGCTTTCTTGTAGTACCGAAAATGTTGTGATGACTGGTGTGGCAGGTGTACCAGGGGGAAGCGCCGAGGACGTCGCTCAAAAGGAGAGAGGGACAGTGTAATACTTTGTATATGTGACCACATGACGTTTGGCGATGACTATAGGAGTTGCCTGGACCTTGTACTCGTGGGCTGGCCCTCGGGCCATGCTCAGGCCCATTTGCTCTGTTCTCTTCGGAATACGTGTATCCAGCCTCATTAACTGCCTTCTTTCATCCTATGGAAGGTATCGGGACGATATATAGTGTTCGCACATTTCTACAGAAAAAACTAGGCCTATTCATTGCCAGCCTAGCATAGACATGGATTACCGTCAAGTATAGTTCTCATTACCCTTTCCCATTTCTAGCAGTTCGAGCAATTAAATAGCCACCGCATCAAGCAAGTTTTCTTAAAGGTAGTTTTTGGAAGCTGATCGATCACCCTAAGGCTAGCATAGGCTATCAAACAACCACATATTGGGACGCCTTCACTACACCTCTGTCACCGTGTATTGTTGATTCCGATCTTCCGCAAAGTCTTCTGAGGTAACGTCAGGGAGGGAATTGGGTGATGACAAAGCTGGAGCTCTTCTCTTTCTCTCTGGTTACATTCTAAAAGACCTAGCGAACTCTTAATTCAACTCAGGGGAAGGTTTTAGGATTTTACAATTGTAGCTTTGCTAGATTCTTGTGGAGATAAAATGGAACGTAGTGCTTGTGCAAAATGGAAATCATTATAATACACATAGGAGGAGAGGGATATAAGCAGTTCGGACACGAATCTCGGTCGTGAGAAATGCTAAGTGACATCCTCAGGGTGATATCGGCCTAGCATTTTGTCGTTTTTCTCCCATTTTCTTTTTTTGTGTAACTATCATTCTCATGAAGTCCGAATTCAAAGGCCTGGAAGTAAACAGGCAGGTCAGGACTAAAGTGCTCATCTTTGTTCAATGGTAAAGGCTGCGTGATGGCCACCACAACAGTCTCCTATTCATTCTGTATGCTAAAACACAGTTGTATTCCATCCCAACCTCACGTAATTTGTCTTAGAGGAGGTACAACCCGCATAGATAGCTATCTATGGTTTGAGAAATTGAATATGTGCAAGATTTTGCTCCCCAATTAGCTGTATTTATTCTATTATGTAACACATATTCAAGTCCAGACTGGTCATATTTACGCCCTTTTAGTTCGGCCGTCTGTATGGGTGCCGACCTATATGGCAGCCATTTTACTTATGCTGGGTGAGCTGGCCTTCAGACCATGCCTCAACCTCATATTTTCGCTTTCACTCTTTAGACACGTATTTAGTTTAGCATTATGTGTAATAACTACTAGCGTGTTTGAGCTCGCCTTCATGGGAGACTGACAAAAAGTCAATTCAAAGGCTGATTTATTTAAGGGGGAGCGTAATGCCTTGTTTGTGTAACCACATGATGTTTGGTGGTCACTTTAGGATTTGTCTGGCCCTTGTACTCGTGAGCTGGCCTTTCGCGCCTTCGGTGGGAAGTCTTGAGATGCCAAAGGGAATGTGAGGATTCCTTCCCAGGATGACATTGCCCTTCTACCTCATCAAGCCTCCTCAATTTTCTTTCTTGCTGTACATGTTACCGAATAAGGCCTCCTTCCTAACCCCCTTTGAAGTCCGAGGTTCAGAAGCCTGAGTGTAGATAGGTAGGCTCTACATTAAGCAGAAAACCACAGCGTTTGATTAGATTTTAAGAAATTTTACTCCAGCCTTTAGGCAAAACTTCACTGCTTTATAAAACCATAACAAATTGGTAAATTGCGCAGCCAGCAGCAACGATACAATTACTTAAAAGGGTAACATTGATTTGTACTATATTGGATCCATTAGGTAATGCTTTTTATACTTTCATTTCTTTAGTCCAATGACCTAGAAATGTTTTAACTGGCGTTCTGTCGCAGTTGGTGCTTTCATCAATGGGTATTTAAATCCCTTCGCCCAATTCTTTTCGTCATTCGCTTGTTATGTCTAGTGTTTACAATGTGAGAAGGTTGAACATTAGTGGAAGTTTCGGTGTTTCAGCGATTTGTATCCAGCATAGTGAATTAAATGCAATTCACAAGGTTTTTCACAGTCTTTAAAGCAATTGAAGTCTGGCTCTAGGATTCCATTCCGATGCCTGTATTACCTAGTGAAGTTATAATGCTTCCTGGGATTCACCTTGGCTTAGAAATTTTGTGCTTTTTGGGCTTTCTCTTTTGTGAATATTTAAGGCTACTTGAGTTTCAAATAGGCTCTTGGTTCTTCGCCATAAACTTTGTAGCATTGTTATGGTGTTTGCTTGACACTATGCTCTTATACAACACTTTAGAAATCCGATTCACCGAAAAACGTTGTGCGTGCGGCTCATTTGGTTACGCGCGATGACAGAGCTCTTGCCTCCGGCGATGGAAGCAAGTTCTTGGGCTGTACGATTTGGTTCACAGGTTAGTTGAGATACACTGTGGAATCGGTGCTTTTCTGTTTTGCTATAGCCATGCCGCTGAGTATTTTGGTCTATATGCCCAAATCAATTCAAGTAACCCTATTTCAATCTTATCATAACGGTTGATGTTTTTATTCTGAGTTGGATTTTAAATAACCCGTTCAGTTCGTTCTTTAGGTCTGAGCGGTTCAGGGAAGTCTACTCTGGCGTTTTCTCTGGAACAAAGACTTGTTTCCATGGGCATTCAAGCGTATACCCTTGACGGTGACAACCTTCGCTTGGGCTTGAACAAGGATCTTCGGTTTTCTGATGAAGATAGAGCTGAAAACATCCGACGAGTGGCTGAAGTGGCCAAGCTTTTTGCTGATTCTGGAACTTGTGCTATCACCAGTTTTATTAGCCCCTTTGAAAAGGCAAGTTACGTTGGTGCACTAGGAGGTCAATTGTCAATCATAACGATTGTGTAACTTTCTTAATTTTGAAACTGTGACAAAGTCGTCTAAAGGGGACAGTAGCTCAATTGCATCCTATTCTGGTGGGATCAACACTGCCATAAATAATCTACCTTTTTCCATACTGCCTACTAGAGTCGAACTGCATAATCATGACGATTAGTACAATCTGTAATCGCTTCCAATGTATATGTCCTGGCGATGAACTTTAATTCTAACGTTAATTTTTATTGATTCTGCGGATAATAGTCGAAATTCTTTGTGTCGTGTCTCATCGGGCTACAGTTGTTTGTTGCGTTAGGTGAACTGCATTTCACTAGGGATAGGTAAAACTACATGCAGCCTGTACACACAAGACATCAATTAATATGTTTGCAAACTGTAAAGTTAAGTAAGTACTGAGCGCCTCCAGGGTCAGCGATTTTATCCTGGTATTCCAGCATATCAGTATCTTCATGTTCCAAATCGCTTTGCAAATATTATTTAGCAGCCGGGGTGTATATGAGAAAATAGCGTTGGGAGCGACTGGGATTTTCGGGGTTCAAAACGCATTTTTTGTTTCGCGGAAAAGTAATGTTCTCAATTTGACTAAAACACCTTACAGGTTAATAAATCTAAAATTTATGCGTCTCCTCACTCCAGCAACGTCAATTGGCTCGTAAACTCCATGAAGAGGCGGGGCTTCCCTTCGTTGAGGTGTATTTATCCACTCCGCTGGAGGTGTGCGAGGCGCGTGATGCGAAATCTCTGTACGCGAAGGCGCGTCGTGGCGAAATAAAGGACTTCACTGGAATCAACTCGCCCTACGAAAAGCCCCTAAATGCCGAACTGTGCCTCAACACCGCTGATATTGGTCCAGAGGAGTGTACCAATAGACTCATTCAAATTCTAGTTGATAAGGTTCGTCTTGCTGTGATCTCTACAATTTTTTTGAATCCGCTGTATTTAAGTCTCTTGTCGGTGCTTATGTTCCCGTAATTAGTTTAAAAAAATTAGTTTTACACATCTTTAAGCCCCCTAGGTCGCCCCACAGGTGAGGCCATTAGTGCAGGAGTGAAATTCTTCGGGTCAAGTAGGCCTTGCTCCACACGATTTTACCATTATCTGCCGGTTCAATGATTACCTTGAATAGTAGAGTTGATTAAGAGCATTTCACAACCTAAACGCATGGATACCTCGGTCAAGTTGGTTGAGTGCTAATGGGCAAGAGTTGCATTGTCATTGAGCAATTAAACTTGGATGCATATGAAGATTGGATTGATAGTGATCTTCTATTATTGCTTTACTGAATCTTTTGCAAGCGCCGGTCTTTTCATCCACTAGTAGCAATATGTGGAAGTACAGTCGGTCCCATTCTGCTGATTTAGACTTCAGAATGTCTTAACTCCCTTAAACACATCAGACAATCGCCATATAGCATATTTCAGGGTATTTGTACGGTCATTTGGTTAGTGTTTACAAGGCACCTTAGAGATTTGGCATGGGGGAGGGATGAGTACTCACTTCAGAAGCCAAACTCATAAACAATTGTCCTATTTGCCATGCAGTTTTATCATTGTGGATGAATAACAAGTATGGCTGTTGAGACTGTGTACTCAGAGCTGAAGCTTTTGAAATCTAAACTGGTATGCATTTTGGTAGATTTTTTAGCTACCATGTTTTATTGAATCGTTCTTCAGAAAACTCATCATAATTTACTTAAAACTTACCGCCTCAAAATGCAAGTAGTTTTCCTCGTTTTTTGGCTCACCTTGACTGCTATTCGAATCGTTATTGTATGAAGGAAATTTAGTAGATTGACACTGAAGGCCTTATAAGCCAGTGTCTTTTAACTGATTCCTACCTTGAAGACATTTAGGACTGCGTGTCGTATTTACTTGTTACCTTTCAGTAACAATGATTGTCTATCCCTATTTTGAATCAGGAAATCATACCGATGCACGTGACGCACCGCACCCTTCACGAGCTCTACGTTACGGAATCGGAAAGGAGTCTTTATCTGGAACGAGCGATGAAGTATCCCAAGGTTTCCATATCAAAAACCGATCTTCAGTGGGTTCAGGTGTTAGCTGAGGGATGGGCGACGCCACTGCGGGGATTCATGCGGGAGGCTCAATATCTCCAAGTACTTCATTTTGGCGGACTTATTGATGGTAATGTTAAGCCAGCTACTGCATAACGTGTCATTAACAATTTTTAAATGATCATTTTGCTTATTTCATCCCAATGTCTAGTTTTTTATACAGTCTTATTATATGCGTGACAGGAGGTCAGAAATTCACAAATCTTTCCATTCCAATTGTACTGGCCATCACAAGCGAGACCAAGGAAAAGTTGGGACCATTTGTTCAGCACATCACGCTCACTCATCGTTCGGAACCGGTTGCTGTCCTTCTTGATATTGAATTTTATGAGCATAGAAAGGTATGTCCCCATTTTTTTGTCCAAACATATATTTTGGTCGTGGACACTTTTTCCATCTACAGGCATGAATGAAGCGATGATAAATATGATTTGTAGTTTGTTGAGCACTTAACTATGATAGAACTTAGATGCTGTAAGTTTTGGGGTTCATCCAATGGGAATGTGCTTGTGGGAGAATGTTTTATCACAGCGAATTATTTATGTTTAGCATTTTACTGGGAACTACTGTTCCCTCCAGTCGATGTGGACTTTTGAATGGAAATCTGTATTTTAGGAGGAGCGTTGCAACCGCATCTTTGGTATTTGTGACCGAGGTCATCCGGTTGTCGATCAAATTATGTCCTCCGGCGATTGGCTAGTTGGAGGTGATCTTCATGTTCTCAATCCAATTGTCTGGAACGATGGGCTTGACCAATACCGCCTGAGCCCCCGCCAGTTGCGTGATAAGTTTGCAAAGATTGGTGTAAGGCCATAGCTTTCGCTTACTTATGCTTTTTATCAAGGTCTTGAGATCTGCCCATTGCTCATTTGCTTTTGGTAACACTGGAACCCCCTAAGTTATCGGATTAGCTTCACCATACATCGCAAACTATATTTGACTGTTTTGAACTCTTTGGTACGTAATGAGCGGTTAAATATGGAGGATAAGTCAGCGCTTACGGCAAACATGACTTTACTTTCGAAGTGCTTTGAGGTCAGGTAGGGCGACTTGTGATCTTGATAATGGCGCATTTTCAAACAAAGTGATTTACAAAGTGCTTCTTCTATTCTTCGCTCCATTGGTTTACTGCGAATTCGAAGATTACATCTCAAACCCATCAATCCGTTTAAACAACCAACTTCTTCACTCACGTTTCCCTTCTTGTGATCACGTTGTCCATACCACTCATGCGAAGCGCTAATTTTTATTTCCTTTATCTCCTTATTTCTAAATACCTGCAATTATCCACTTATCAAACACTTCGGCATTCAGGTACTCTTCCCTTCCTTTCCCGGACTAAGAAAGCAGTCACTTGCGACACCTCTATGGCTACTTTTATTGTCATTTTCTCATGATTGAGAAACGGAACTTTAAATCCAGTCTAACATGGTTAAGCTAGGTAAGGCTGTCGGTTCTAGTTCCTACGTTAATTCAAGCGCACAGAACAGCACGTGAATAGGTACCACAAGGCTGCCAAAGCTGCTTTCCTACCACTCTCGCATTTACTTAAACAATTAGCTTCCTCTTTTGCACTAATATCACTTGGCGTTTATTACTCCTCCAATTTATCTATGACAATACTTTGGTCAAGGCATATTGGATCCTCGACTTAGCTGACTGTTGGTCGTACTTATCAAAGCAAGTACTAACATTTCCTCAAAGTGTTAAACAAGAATATGGGGTTTGGCACCTAGTAACAATCCGACTAAGGGTAGCAGAAATCAAGGTTTTTGGACCCCTCCTTACGCTTATTGTTGTCTCTCATCCTTCGTTTCCAGGCAAATATGGTAAATATTAGCTTGTTTTCCTCTTGACATGGTTTACTATATCAACGGGTGAACATTTGCTATCCTAAATATCGTTTTGTGGGTTCATTTTGATCGAAGTAATGAAAGAAAAATATCTTAAAATCCAGCGTAATGTCTGATTTTGTTGTTTAGGTGTAGGAATTAAAGATTGCGAACATTTGCCTGTTCTGGGCTGTATTCATCACTTCCTATTTATCGGCTCGTATAATGTCTTGAGCGAATGAGCTCCGACTTCTGCCATCGATGATGACGATGACAATGATTATGGTGATGCCGACACTGCTGATGACGATGATGAATCTGGCTATTCCACTTGTTTTTGCGTGGTGAGGGTAGTAACACTATTGAGAGGTTTGCACGCGAATGCTCCGTCACCGCGTAGAGGACGGTGTTGGTTGGTGACCCTAGTCCTGTCAAGTGGTGTTATGGCAAACCAGACAATGAGTGAAGTGACCGACTTCAATTATGCGGTTGGTGGTGTAGTGGAAGGACACGGTGATAGAATGCGTCTATGGGATGGGTGGAATCAGGACAAATCGTAGCCAAGATGTTGTGTTGTATAGTGTTTGTGTGCATACGGCGACTGTGA